ACACGCAAGTTACCACAAGACAAATAGGGAACATTCTCAACTACCTCAATCACTACCTCCTGCTTAGTACTTACAACTGCAAGGAACTACGATCCCTACCAGGTTCCTTAATTTTGCCATGCTTTCACATCCAGAGTACTTTCCCCTTTTTTCCACACTTCCAACATGACGATCAGAGGAGGTGCCTAGACACCTCAGCAACAGCAGACCTGCACATGGGGGGGGGATTTCTTAACCACTTGGCATGGTAAAAGCATGTTCCTTCCAGGATTGTCTGACACTTCTCCAACCAGATGGTCAGACGCAGCGTATACCACGGGTTTGGCAGCGATCTACCGGGAACAATTGCTTTGGGGCTGTTGGCCATGGCATCCAGGTTTGGAAATTTTTCCACCACTTCAGCCCCTTTGGGAGATCTACCCCATTGTAGCAGCTGCTGTGGCATGGGGTAAATCATGGTCAGGGTCATCAATCCGTTGTTACTCAGACAACTAAGCACATACCATATCATCAACAAACGCCACTACTCATCCATAAGTTCATGATGTTTCTGGGGAACTCACTTGGTTGGCCACTTATCACATTTCACTTTCATGTACCAGACGGGGGTATACATCCCTGCCGACAACTGTCTCATTTATATTCCAGGCATGTTCATCATACGCTTCCTACAGCCGCCCATACAGTCACGTCCACTCTTTCGTTCCAGAGACAAAATCATGGATTAGACATACTCATGCAGCATAGCATGCACTATCCCACCTAGCACTTTCGTCCCATACTTGTAGAACGCATAACACAGCTTTTCACCTGGCTTAAAGAATCTCATTGGAACACGACATAGCTCAACCTGTGTCACAAAATGTCTCCTAAGTTTTGCTTATTTATGCCACCTTAAACTTAAACTATCTCATACACCATTAATTATATATTTTACAGGCATTCAACAACACATGATAACCTATGGCCAAAACTACCATAAACTTCATGCTATCATACCAGAAAAGAATATACTCAGAGGTTTTCAGGAATCCATTCCCCCACGTTCCTCTCAGAGATTACCAATAGCCATCCAACTGTTCATCCTTATCGGACCTATTAGATCTACAACCATTCAATTATACTACCAAGTCGGCCATTACCAGCCATGCACATTGCCTTTTATGCCTTTCTCAGGCCAGTGAATCCACTACCATCACCACCACTCAGACAGATCATTGTCTTCAACGATCCCACGTACGTAAACACATATATCATTACCTATTGGCTCTACCACATTCCGAAATGAGTCAACACGCACCAACAGTAGAGATAACATACTATCCTACCCACAACAAATGGTGCCCACTTTCGGTCCTAGATTCCTACCTTCAAAATCCTTTCAGGAATTAAATACTGTAATGCATTTAAGGAAATGTCTGGTTAATTTGTATATATTTGTTGACTGTATTAAATCTTTGATTATTCATTTTTGCCCTCTTTATTTACAGGCCTACCGTATCGTCGGTATCGGCACACCACAACCGACTTGCTCCCTTTACACTATCCTAAGCTTATGCTGGATCCTTACTCCATATACGGCTATTTTGCCCCTTACACAAGTATTAAGGCAGTTTTGCCTGTATTTGTGGGAGGGGCTTAAATTAATTCACTCCCCTATATAAGGGACACCCCTTACCTGACTCATATCGCTTGAGGTCAGCATCAGAATGACCCTCCCACCCACTCCTCATTTCAACACTTTCTCTTTTCTTTCCATTTACTTTACTTTCTTACTCCTTGGTGGGCCCTCTTTATTTACAGGCCTACCGTATCGTCGGTATCGGCACACCACAACCGACTTGCTCCCTTTACACTATCCTAAGCTTATGCTGGATCCTTACTCCATATACGGCTATTTTGCCCCTTACACAAATATATATATACATATATATATATATATATATATATATATATATATATATATATATATTTATTTTCATATACAGATGGGGGGTCTAAACTATCTAGGGACATCAGGACTATAGTTCTAGGAATACATATACCATATGTATTTCTAATGCTACGGTGTTCCTTTAATGAAACTAGTTATTGCTACACTCACAGCATTCAGATTTGTATAAAAAAGATAATTATAAAATATCCTGTGTCATTTGATGACCTAAAAGATTAGAAAGCAATTTGCTAGTTTGACATCACTTACAAAGTTCGCTAGAGTTTTTCATTCCTATCATTCATCCTTGTATAATAGTGGGCTGGACTGAGATGTATATTTCAACATAAACCAGGTAGAGGTTAGAAAAGTTTAAAAGAGAGTGCCCTAAAAACACATGAAAAGGTAATCACAAGAATGCTTTGTGCTTTGAAAATGAGTGATTTCTTCACTGTGAACAGCTGAGTGGCAAACAACAGTGCCATCATCTAATGTGCTTAGCCAAATGGACTTCCTGATTCTGGCAGTTTCTGTGTCACACTCAACTGAACTAAATCTAGTCTTTTTTTTCAAACAGAAAAAATGTTATATACGGAACACTAAACAATTCTATTTACAGGTATATAATAGCAGTTTGTTAAATAATTAAATGTTATGGATTTATAATATGAAAATTGATTTTAAAAAATGTTGATGAAGATTATTAAAATAAATAAAAAATTAGTTATCACAGAAATATAGCTTACTAAAAAAAACCTTTTGGGCATTTCCTATATTGTTGTAAGCAGGAGTTTCAGAAAGTTTGCCAGGAATAGTAGTCATGGTTGACCATTATGTGTGGAATTCCCCCATGCTCCCACTCACCATGCTGCAAATGGGGCCATGTCTGCTAAATTGTAAGCAGTGTATCCCTCAGTGGGTTTATCGATTAAAAAGTCCCCATAGTGGAGCTCTAGTCAAGTGATGATAGGGGGACATAGAGCCCTTCCCATGCACCCACCTATGCAGGGGCATATTAGCCGCGAGGCAAACAAGGCATTTGCCTTGGGCAACATTTTCCAGGGGGCGGCAAAAAACGCCGCCCCCCAAATGCCCAGGCAAATGCCTTGTTAGCCTCGCGGCTAACTGACATGCTGGGCGCTGGGCGGGCGGCTGGCGAGGGAGCTCTTCACCTGAGCTGTCCACTCAGCTCCCTCGCACGCCGCAGAGTGAGGCTGGGAGCCGGAATATGACGTCATATTCTGGCTCCCAGCCTCACTTTGAGGCGCGCGAGGGAGCTGAGTAGTCAGCTCAGAGGAAGAGCTCCTTCACCAGCCGCCCGCCCAGCGCCGCCCAGCCCAACCGGCAGCCACTGGACCACCAGGGAAAGAGGGACCCCCCCCCCAGCATTCCCAAAGGTAGGGGGGGGGATAAAAATGTGTTAATTTGAGTGTGTATATGTCTGTGAGTGTGTCTGTTAATGTGTGTGTTTTGTTAGTGTGTGTGTGCCTGACTGTGTGTGAGTGTGTGTCTGCTAGTTTGTGTCTGTTAGTGTGTATGTGTGTCTGACTGTGTGTCAGTGAGTGTGTGTGTGTCTGCTAGTGAGTGTGTGTTTGCCTGTGAGTGTGTGTGTCTGTTAGTGTGTGTGTGTTTCTGTTAGCGAGTGTATGTGTATCTGTCAGTGAATGTGTGTGTGTATTTAGAAGGCGGGGCGGGGGGAAGGGTTGGGGGGCTGGCGCGGGGAGAGGGGGCGGGAGGGGGGGGTGCCTGAGTTTTGTCCCGCCTATGGCAGCACAAAACCAGGATACACCACTGCACCTATGGCCAGCAGGTCTTGACTATAATTAAAATAAATTAATGTTGGGAGAAAACGATCAGTTGAGAACTTTTTCTACTCTATGCAATCTCATTGAGTCTCTGAGATTGTTTAGCATGGAAAAGCCCTTATAAGATATTTTCCCAACATGCAACACAGTGTGTATGGAACCCTCAATGGATCAATAATAATACTTTATTTTGGCCTTGCAGTATTTTTTGTGATCTGTTTTTTTTCTTTTTTATATTAATAGTAGCAGGGGTACATTATGGAATTTTATTTGGCCACCCTTGCTATTATCAGAGGCAGGCATTTTTTTATTTGGGATGGACATCATTTTTGGGGGTGATTGACAATAGTATACCCACTCCTTCAGTAATTGTAATTAGAGCCCCTGCCCGCTGCTCATAGATGGGAGCTGGAGGAGCATTATGTCGCCATTATCAAAATTAGGGTCTCCATATGCTACCCATGGTTATGGCTAGGGGGGGAATTTGTTTATTATTTAGATCCCCTAGCCACTGACCACCTGAGTGCCCCCACTTAGTTCCCCCTTATTCATTATAATTATATCCCCTTATTCATTATAATTATATATGGGCACATGTGGACACTATAACGAACCCGCATTAATTTTTAGAGTCCCACCATGACAGTGAACTGTTCACATTCCCTTCTTTAAATTGAAGCCCCCATCAGATGTCCACAGGTGAAAACACAAGGGGGTTGTACATTAGTAGTGATTATGCAGCAATAGCAACAGACAGAAGGATGTCCTGACCATCCATGTCATAGAGGTAATATGGAGTTTTCCACTTGTTAACTTGGTCCTAGATGAAGTTATCCCAATGAGGAGGTAAAATGCATCCAGTTTGAGGAAGCTTCTCTTGAGGAAAGTGGGGTTCACATTCCTTTCCAGGCTGCAAGTCATGTTTTATACAATCGGTTCATTATATACAGCATGTCATGTAAAAGTGGCTCTATAGTTAGATGACCGCCTTAGGCCTAACACTTGCTGGAACCTTGCCTTATGCCCCTATTAGAGCAATGCTGTCACTGTGAGCGCATTAACCAGGATCTCTTATTCAGGTTTATCCTGAGGCCTTGTATACTCTAGTGCCTTGTCTGATGGCATGTTATGCTAAACTAAAAGCTAACCAAAACCACATTAAATCCCTTACCCACAGATGAGGTAAGAGTAGGTTCCATAAAAAAGAGACAACACTATATGTTAGACATCCAACATGAACCATTATTTATTGAATTTATCAACACAGGCATGTTTTTGTCATGACAAATACAGGTTCTATACAAGTGAATGACTTATTGCATATTTCACCAAAGGCCACATAGGTTTTTGATTAATATAACATGTGTCATACATTGATAATAGTATTTTATAATTGTAGCAGCTAGAAAAATAGATGTATCAATAACACAAACCATGACAAATCAAGGCATTGATTTAATATTTTTGGATAAACAACTCAAATAATTGAGAATTTTGTAATAAACTTTTAAAATTATTTAATATTATAATTTTAATATTCTGGATATATTTATTTTTAAATATACAATATTGTTTAATGTTTTAATAGTTTGAAAAAAATAATTTATCCAAAAATGTTGAATTGTTTGATAAGCTTATCCCCAAAAAATAAAATTGAGGCCGAATTAAGAGATTAGAGTAAATGTAAGATTTCCAACATGCACTAATAAGCATATAGGTAGCTTATCTATTCTAAAAATCTTTAGTGTATTCCATAGCTGGGATCCAGTACAATAGATAGAGTTCACATGTCACTTCAAGGGAAATTCTGAGCATGATAGCCACCTATAGATCTCGTTATAGTGCAATAATCTCCTGTGTCCCTGTCTACCTGTATTCTTGTATTTTGGAACGATACGGTGATTTCTAAGCATGAACACACTAGCTTATTCATATTTTTGGATGCATCATCATAAACTAATCATATTTAATATTATTGGCACTTCATAAAAAAACAACACTGTTGAATATGTTAGTACATTGCAAAGAAAACAAAAAAACAAAAAAATTGTAATGAAACAAAATTTAGCAAAGTGAAGATTGTAACTAAGTTAAGATGAACAAGTAATTTAAGCAAATGACAATGATAGAAAACTATATAAAATATCTACCCCATGCAGCCAACTAATAAAAATAAACATTCCTAAAAACATTAGATTATTTTAACATCTTAAGGACCTTGTGATGCCTTATGTCATCATGCCATGCAGAGCTTTAAAGGCCATTGACAGCAAAGTGGAAGATCTCCTTCTCATGCTGAAATCACACAGTAAAGAATGTTCATAATGCTCATAATGCTGTGGGGGCTGTGAAATCCCTTTGCTTATGTCAGTATTGACTTCAGCAGAGGGAATCCCTCTGATGTGCGATTAGGGGTGGATTTAGGGGCAGGTTTTGGGTTGTATTGTGCCTTGGATTATAGATAGGATTATTAGTTGGGTTTTAGGTTGGAGTGATTATGAGTAGGAATAGTGGTTTCAGTAGGGTTAGGTTAAGGTTGGCAGAAGTGTTGGATTAGAGGAAAAGGTATATATGGGGTATCACAATTGAGAACAGTAGCAGAATGCAAATATCAGTTATTTGCAGTAATGGTACAGGTGTGGTCTGTGAATTTCCCCAAAATAAAACGTGAAAAAACACACAAACATAGTTCATGATAAAATGGTAAAATAAAATGTGTCAAAATGTTCTTAGTTACATAACCTGGAGGACATACTTTCAACAAATATATACTTTCGTGTAGCGGTTTTGGATTCTCTATAAAATGTGTAATCTCAGCATGTCAAATTGTGCTAAGTTTTAGCTATAACCATAATTCACTCCTTGCAATATTTGTTTTACAATTGCTAAACATGAATTAAAATCCTATCCTTATGGGGCATTTTAACAGTCCGAACTAGGTTAGTTCATTTAGATTACTGAATCTATTTTTTGAGAAAGTCCTATTTGTCCATTAAAAATGATATATAACATTTATGGGTGCACCTAAACACAAAGGATGAAATTGTAATAATGGTAATAATGCCAAAAAAGACTGCCTGGGCCACAAACATATCAAGAAAAAAGAAAAAACAGGGCCGTGCTAAATAACAGAGGGAAGGCAGCACACCTAAAAGGGAAATTCTCTCTAAAAACCCTTAAAGCTGTGGTATAGATAGGCAAAAGTATAGGGTGTGCCAATAAACAAATAAACACTAAGTAAAAGATATATGAACAATAAAAATCAGAAATAGATATAACATACATGTATCTGAATATAAAAGGAGCTAACAAAAAAACATAGAATAAAAAGGAAAAGTCTCTCAATTTTGAGGTAAGTATAGGTAGTTCTTCAACCTTGACATTCACCAAGATGCTCAGGTTCAATAGGTATATGTAACAAGAAAGAATAAAACTCCAATAGTGCACTATGTCCAGAATATGTAGTGCAAATCTTAGAAGAAATCCAAATTTGGTACTCAAATGTATTAGAGCTCAGACTAGCTCTTGTATAATGTGCATATAGTAGTTATAGTCCCCCACTACTAGGGTATCAATGGAAGGTACACTGCACAGATATTGTAGTAGCCGGATATATACAAAACCAAAAAATAATAAAAGCAACAAATAGTGCTCACATACATGTGAGTACCAAATTTGGATTTATTCTAACATTTGCACTACATATTTTGGACTTATAGCACTATTGGAGTTTTGTTCTTTCTCGTTACATATACCTATGGAACCTCAGCATCTCGGTGAATATCAAGATTGAAGAAGTACCTATACTTACCCAGACATTGAGAGACTTTTCCTTTTTATTCTATGTTTTTGGTTAGCCCCTTTTATATTCAGATAACTGTATTTTATATCTATTTCAGATTTTTATTTTTCATATATAGTGATGTCCCGAACGGTTCGCCGAACGGTTCGCCGCGGACGGCAAACATAAACATAAACTTTGACCCTGTACCTCACAGTCAGCAGAGACATTCCAGCCAATCAGCAACAGACCCTCCCTCCCAGACCCCTCCACCTCCTGGACAGCATCCATTTTACATTCATTGTGAAGCTGCATTCTTAGTGAGCTGTCCAGGAGGTGGGAGGGTCTGGGAGGGAGGGTCTGCTGCTGATTGGCTGGAATGTGTCTGCTGCCTGTGAGGTACAGGGTCAAAGTTTATGTTTATGTTTGCCGTCCGTGGCGAACCGTTCTGCGAACCGTTCGGGACATCACTATTCATATATCTTTTATTTAGTGTTTATTTCATTATTGGTTCACCCTATACTTTTGCCTATCTATACCACAAACATGTCGAGTCTCAAAACAGCCTTGGTTCTTAAGGACTTAAATAAAATACTTTGGAGAATCATGTATACCTAAAATATATTTATGCAAAAACCATTTACATTTTGTAACTATATTAAATTTTGTATAATATAATTGTATTAACTTTATATTAATGTAGGTATAGACTAATCATGCAAGGCATATATTTCATTTTGTGGCACAAATGAAGCTTGAGCCACTTTTGAATTTGTCTTCTTGTTCAAGGCAGAACAAATGAAATTTCCAGCTTCCATCACTTTGTGCAGGTTAACTCCCTGAGAGAAAAATAATAAATATTTAGTATTTTAACCAGAAGTTCATTCATGAAAAATTATTGTTATATAGGACTAGGTATTTTACAATATGACGTTATTAAAAACAAAATTCTGAATCCAGTATAGATATTGAGATATTTTTACCAAGGAATAAACGGGAGGATGATGACTCTAGGGGGTAATGGTAAATATGTGTTGGTGAATTGCGGACCCCTCATTCCAGCTCTTATGAGATTAATCCACTTACCTGGAAATCCGTCTTCCTGGGTCTCTCAGCACTGCAATGCTAAACAGGGCTTTGGAATGAGTCACATGTGATCATTTGGTTGGCAGAGAAGGGCCTGACAAATATGGAGTACATTGACAATATGCCTGTCTTATGCACTATATTGAGCATATACTGTAATTAAATCCCAATTAAGTTTTAAGTTTTAAAAACATTTACTTTTAGTGAACCTTGAAGTTTGTTTATAGCTAGTTGTGTGTTTTTGATTCTGTATGCTGTATCCATTGGTCCCAACAGCACCCTTATATGTTAAGCATGTTTAGGCAAGTGCAGCCCTCCTGATTCCTATGTAGATGTATGCATATACATAGCCTGTAAACATGGGTGTATTTTAAAGGAACACACCACACACCATAAACCACAACAGCACACTGCAGTGGTTATGTTTAATGTAACATGGGTGCCTTTCCCATCTCAATGTAAGTAGTAAAGCAGATTTAGAATGGAAGCTCCTGCAAAAATCTACTGACCATTCAGACATCAAGTATAACATATTTCCATCTATGATTTGCAGTAAGGCTAAGTTCTACATTTTAATTGTATAACACATAATGTTTTTACTTCTTTTACCTTCCATTTTTAACTGTATTACAATTATAATATATATATATATATATATATATATATATATTTTAAAGCATGTACACAAACTTAGACATAATTTTAAAATATTGTATTCTATATTTAATACATTTCAGTTTCAATGTCCTTGACTAAATAAATAATTAAAGCTTTGATTGGACTGCACATTTGTATTTTCTCCAGATAACATTCTAGTAACTTATTGTAAGACTAAAAGGATAAATGATGTGCCTATCTGTTTACAGTGTTTGTATTGTGCACTGGAACATGTTGTATTAAAGTCAAAAAGAGCTGCCTGGATTATTTGCACACTGCACATTAAAAAGCTTGAAAGATAACTCCAAGCATAATGTCAAAGTAAATATATAAAAGTAGACCAGCTGAGTGTTCAGGGTCATCAGAATAGCCTCATAATCTTTGCAAAAGCAACAGTTCAACACATGGTAGTAAGCACACATAATTAGGTATACGTTCTAAGAGGCAAATAAGAAGGTTACACTAAGAATCCAATCGTAATTTTAAACTTTCCATTATTAATTTTTTTGTTTTTCTAATATTAAAATTCTTTTAAAAATCAAAAGGCATTTTATAATTTTCTATGTAAATTAAAGGGACACTATAGTCACCAAAACAACTACAGCTTAAAGGGACACTACAGTGCCAGGAAAACAAATCGTTTTCCTGGCACTGAAGGTCCCCTCTCCCTCCCACCCCCCATCCCATGTTGCTGAAGGGGTAAAAATCCCTTCAGTGACTTAACTGAGATCACCGCCATGTCCCTCGGCGGTGGTTTAGGGTTCGCCCACGCTCCTCCTCCACCAACGTCAGCCGGCGGGGGAGACCGATTGCACGTGCGCGTCCGCCGGCGGGATGAGACCTAATTCGCATGTGCAGCAATGTCACGCACGCGCATTACACCTCCCCATAGGAAAGCATTGAAAATGCTTTCAATGCTTTCCTATGGGGATTTTAGCGACGCTGGAGGTCTTCATATAGCGTGAGGACGTCCAGCCACACTCTAGCACAGAAAACCTGTGCTAGAAACCAGGAAGTGCCCTCTAGTGGCTGTCTTGTAGACAGCCACTAGAGGAGGAGTTATCCCTGAAAGGTAATTATTGCAGTTTATAAAAACTGCAATAATTACACTTGCAGGGTTAAGGGTAGTTGTAGTTGGCACCCAGACCACTCCAATGGTCAGAAGTGGTCTGGGTGCCTGGAGTGTCTCATTAATGTAGTTGTTCCGGTGAGTATAATAGCTTTCTTCAGGCATTTTTATGTAAACACTGTCTTTTCAGAGAATGTTTACATTGCCCCTAGTGGCCACTCCTCAGATGGTCACTGGAGGGGCTTCCTGACTCAGAGCTGCACAGTAAGCAACCCTGCCATGCTCTGCATAGAGACGCTGAATTTTCTTCATAGAGATGCATTGATTTAAATCGGCCATTGCGATGATGTCACAAAGGGTGCGGAGCCAGCACCGGCAGACCTGTGCGGCACTTAAAATAAGGTGAGAATTATACTTTTAAAGAGGGGTTAAGGGGGGGTGAGGGGGGCAAGCCACCTAAATGGTGGATTAAACACTATAGGGTCAGGAATACATGTTTGTGTTCCTGACCCTATAGTGATCCTTTAAAGAAAATTTACTTTAGCCTATTTACTAGTTTTCACTGTTGCAGTCAGTGGAGGCTGATGAAGTTTAAAGATAGTGGGACACTGCCCCATCTGACTTGTTGGCCTGTACCCATTTAACCCCATGAGATGCCATGAACTGTTCAAAACCAGCTGCATCTACAGTCATTCATAAAAGGGGTGATAGGAATTGCAAATATAATCAGGACAGACACGTTTTTTCTAATACGCAGTGATTTTTTTTTTTACAACAAAAAAGGGGTACTGAAAGCTTGTTTACATAATTAGTAGAAACATCAACAGTAGCATTATTGGCATAAGTAGCATTATCAGCAGTATTAGTAGTGGGAGTGGTAACAGAAACAGTATTACCAATAATAGGAGTGTAGCAATAGTAGCCTTACTTAAAAAGTAGCATTATCAGCAGTATTAGTAGTGGGAGTGGTAACAGAAACAGTATTACCAATAATAGGAGTGTAGCAATAGTAGCCTTAGTAAGTAATAGCTGTAGTAGAATTTATGGAAGTAAAAGTAGTGATAATAGTTCAAGTAGTAACAATACTAGAGTTAGTAGTAGTAATAGTAGCACAAGCTTACCAGATTGTATTAAGGTCCTTCCTATGTAACTGTATAGGTAAATCTTCACATTTCACAGAACAATCAAGAACAATTAAGTATTACGTTTTCTCACTTTACAATTAAAGGAACACTGTAAGCAATTTAACAACTTCACCTTAATGAGGTTGAAATAATGCCTGCAGTCTTGCCCCACTGTCCTGCCCCAAAAACCCAATATTAAACTAAATAGAAGATTGGGATGCCTGACTGAAGTCGCTCCTTTAAACTAACGTGCGGCTCTCACACATATGCGCAGTGCCATCATGGTCTGCCATAGAGAATCAATGTATTCAGTGATTCCCTATGAAGGAATTCTGGAGCATTGCGGTGAGCGCTGCGCATGCACCTACATGCGTCAATGTTCTTAATGCTGCATTCCTAATACTACAGTGTTCCTTTAATACAATTAATATTATTTACATATACAGAGAGTATTATTAAGGCATGGTAATTGTTAAGGAGAATCTAAGACTTACTGTATGAATGCCCATTCCATTAAGCATGTAGATTACGTCTTCTGTAGCAACATTCCCAGTTGCACCATTTGCATATGGGCAACCACCTAACCCAGCAACTGCACAATCAACAACACTAACCCCCATCTAAAGAGAGGGAAAATGAAAGGATGTCAACATACAAAACAAGAGTCTGCAAAATATAAAACATAATAATGGATTTGTATACTGTTAGCATGTTATACTCGTTGCTGCCCATAGGGCTTATTGCACTCTCTTGTATACTCTAGGTCAGGGGTACGGAACCTTTGGCACTCCAGATGTTACAAACTAAAGCTCCCATAATGCTTTTACAGCCATAATGCTGGCAAAATATCAGGGCATATGTAGCCTACAACATTGGCAAAGTTGCTTAAACCTGCTCTAGGCTCAAATTAGCCAGATTATTCCTCTGCAAAATAATCCAATTATGTAAATATGCCTAGGTATTTTGGGATAGCGCACAAGT